AGGAGGTGTTTATTATGTAAATAATAACATTTCATGAACTATATAAAATTATTTATAACTGGCAAGGGTTACAAAAGAAGGGAAGCATGTGTTTTTTTCTTTGTTGAATCGTAAATTGTAGTAATTAATCGTTTTATTCAATTTCGTAGGTGCGGGCAAGATGGGGTATAGGGAAGAGTGGGTCAAGACGGGGTACACAAATTAGGCAAAAGAAAAGAGAAATAAGAGAAGTTAAGAAAACTACTAAAATCAAGACTTGTCTCTATTGTAATGGTTATTATTTAGACTTAAATGAAGGCTGGGCTGCATGTTTTGTCAGCGGCCAATGGGTTTTGTGCAGTTGTGCTGGTATCGATGTTTTAATTTTATGCTTTTTTAAGTAACAGATGTGCTTCCTACGCCTTTATTACGAAAGACAGATTCCCAAAGATGATTATTAAAAAAAATAATATAGTATATATTCGATAATTTCCGTTTTATTGCCCTTTAAACCATACGTACCCCGTCTTGCCCCACCCTCCCCTATTTATAAAAAAATCGTGATTTAATGATTGGCATGTTTTTGGACCGTGCGCGTGCAGCCGTACCGATAATTCCCGATGGGAGTGTATATCATTTTATAATTCTTGAATTGCTCTTTCATATACAAGAGGCAAAAATTATTGTCTACTTACAGGTTTTTTTGTTATTAAAGATTAAAAATACTACTACACTGGTCATGTACACTTGTGTTCATCGATGCCTTTGTCGGATGAACATGTTGCACTCATAGAAATATATGAGTGCAACACGTTCGTCCGAGGAAGGCATGGATGAACACAAGTGTACGTACAATTCGTGCGCTTTGTGTAACACGGACAACTACTGTCAATGTGTAGTGAGTAGTGGGGCTTTTAACGCTCGACTTTTAAATGCTTTTCCTGAGAAATCAGCATTTGTCAAGTTAGGTCCCTTTCTCCGTGGAGCGTCACATAAATCACGCTCGCCAGGGCATCCAAATTTCTGGCCGTGTGTCGTATACAATTTTTTTGTATCCCCAGCCGAAAGTACGTTAATTAATTATTGTTTGAATAATAAAATAGCGCAATAAGTTGCCCGCCCGACTTTTGCAAAGTCGAGGCGAAGCCTAGACTTGGCTAGTCGGGGCGGGCATAAATGAAAATTATATGTAAAAAATAATTGTAAGTAAAATTTAAAAAATAAGAAACAATTAAAACATAGTAAACAGTAAGAAATTTTCTCTTACAAATAATTATTTAAAAAATATCAATGTACCTATTTTACAATCATCGAAATATTCATTAATTAAGAGAAGTTACCTACTTTACCGATTAAGTGACATCTGTGAAATATCGTTCTAATCTAAATTAAATTTTTTAACATGATAATTCTTCGTATTTAAATTACAATATATTTAAATAATTAAGAAACAATAAAAGAAAATAATAAATTTCATGCATTATTTTGGTTATTTCAATTACATGCACTGTATTTATCTTATATATTTTGGTATTTCTAACTGAACATTTCTTGAGATTTGAGGTTATGATCAGTTCACGTCAAAACACAAGCTCTTTAATGAACGTGTTTGTGTGTTTGCTATGCTACAATATACGTGTGTCGAGAATCTTGTAAAGGCCTAGCACAATAGGTTCGCGAAAGTCGTTCGCGAACGCAAAGCAGGAGTTAGAAAAGGACAGAGATATATTTGTGTCCTTGTCTATCTCATGCGTCTCGTTCGCGAACGACTTTCGCGAACCTATTGTGCGTTGGACTTCACCAATCAGAGCGTGCGTTGGCTCAGTCGAGTCGGTCACAAAAGTCGCTATTCCCGGAAGCAAATTAAACCGGGAAGACCGTACTTTCGGCTACGGGATACAGAAAAATATATTTTCAATCATTTCCTCCCGATTGAAACTTTGTTAAATGATAGTTGGCACAACACCTCAACATAAAATAATCGTCAGCGAATGCAAAGTGGGAGATTACACGTCAGCTGGTCATGTGAACATGTAAAGAAATTATGATTTTAGTTATTTCTTCTCAATTGCTGATGTTTGTGAACAACCTATTCTTCCTCATGTTAGAATCCGAATTTCAAACATTCATTGACATAGCTGACGATTATTCCAACCACATATAACCATCTAACATTTATATTTATTAAAATTATGATGTAAACTATCATTTGATTGATTTCACAGGTCCAAAAAAGAAAATTTATGGAAGGTTCCTTCTACCAAACGTGGTGTATTAAATGTTCTTGGGGTCGCTGAAAACTAATCTGAAGTCCATTTTGCTCCAACTCCTAAGCATTTTTTCTAACCTCAAAATACATATCAGATTTTTGGTGCCAGACAAAATTCTACAAATTTTCGCGGACGCTTATCTCAATCTTGGTATCGAGGGGTTTTCGGATGTCACTGATTACGAACTTAGAAGCAGATTTTTAAAATACAAAATGGCGGATCCAAAATGGCGACCGGATTTTGTAAAAAATTCTTAAATTTTGACAAAACTTAGTATCTAGGTGTTTTTAAGGTCACTGGCCACAAATTTTTTGTGAACCTGTATCCAGGACACCTCCATGTGGTGACGGAGGGAAACGGAGTTACTCTGTGTTTCGGCGCAAAAAAAAAACTCTCAAATAACAAGTTCTGCGAAAATATGACTATTACTTTTTGTTAACTTTTAATACACTTCATGCTAGTTTACACATTTTTTTTAATAACTAAAAGATGTTTGAAAATATAAACACTTATATTTCATATTGTATTTGTATAGAATATATTTTCCCGTGTTTACGTGTTTAGATGCCCAGAAGGTGTTGTGCCAACTATCATTTAACAAAGTTTCAATCGGGAGGAAATGATTGAAAATATATATTTTTTTACATGTTTGTACGTCTGATGCTGCTCAATCCACCGAAGTCAGATTTTGAAAATTCAAAATGGCGGATCCAATATGGCGGATAAACGTACCAATTTTTTAATACTATCTCCCCCTTACTCTCTCTCTCTCTCTCAATCGCTCTTTCACTCTCTCTTACACTCTCTACTTTTTAAAATGTAATAGAAGCTCTGTCCGGATTTACCCCAAATTTTCGAATTCTTGGGGTAAATTCGGACAGCTTGAAAGGGTTTGAATGTATTAAAATAGAAATTTAATTTTTCCCGCTGCACGTTTCTTGGAAGACCCGCATAAGGTTTTGATAAGCACCGCGTCGTTTCCAAAAAGCCCGCTAAAAGGTCCAAGGGTGAGGGAAGCAGCTCGGATGGGGGTAAATTCTGAGGGGATTTTGACTCACGATTGATAAAAGAATTACTCTGCTATTCTTCGACCTCATTTTATCTTTCGTCGTTCGTTTGAATATATGAAGCTTCGCGCCATACGTCTAAGTTTGTCGCCGACGACCTAGAGGTAAAATTGTTTTTAACCGGACTTTAAAATTACTTTCTACTTTCAATATTTTTTATATTTATTTCTTTGAATTCTATTTGATTAGTGTGGCGTTTTAATACCAATATTTGGCCGGAGTTTCTTTTCGTGTGACGAGGGGATTCAAGAGGTGTGGAATAGCGGAATTCTGACAGGCTGGATATTCGCCATCGTGGCGCTGAGTAGGCCGACTTTGTGGTTGAAGTTCTTAAGACGCCTGATAGTTTTCTAAGGAGGCTATATTTTAAGGGAATAATACTCTATACCTGGCTGAGCCAAGCCTGAAATACGGAGCTGCTTCCAACACCCCGCCGACCCTGCGCTCACGCTGATTTTAACTACCAACGAGGCGACGATTGATAAGTCTAATTTTAATATTTCACTTTATTTTTAATGATTATAAGTAGGTGTATGCCTTCTTTAGATAAAGCTATTCTTATTAAGTTTATATGACCGAATTTATTAATTATATAATTGTTTCTCGCTATTTATTTGTGTGTGTGTGTTGTCCTTTATATTTGAATGTATAATTTGCGCGTCGCGGCTCGAGCCCTCGTTTTTCTCTTGTAATTATTCGATGCGCCTTTAACGTGTTTTACTGAACTAAATTAAGTTATGAACGAAGTTTTGATTGATATTTAATAAATTTAAGTGTTTATCTGACATACATCTCGATATTTCATTTTTTCCACATTTTAGTTGAGATCATATTTTATTTTATTTAGATTCTTTAACACCAAATTATTTCAATTTCGCTTTGTTAATTTTGAATTTGTGGAACATTTTATGTAAAATTTTTAATAGTATCTAAATTTTCTCAATTTAATTTTGAATAAAGTCTTGTTTTGTAACAAGCTTGTCATTATTAACTGAATTGACAAAAATCAAAAATCCAAGTCAATTTCTCTTTCAGGAGTCATAAGGAATAACAAGAAATTTTTGTATAATTTTTAAGTTTGTTACTTTTCAAATGCAAGATGAAATGCTGAACCAGTTTGAAAATGATTGTCAAGTTTTTTTGCATTAAGCGACAACTTTAATTATCCTGTTGTCAATTGTCAAGATAAAAACGTGGCGATACTCATAATCTCTTTTAGGGGATCTGAGCTTGATATATTGACGTCGAACTTAATTTTTAATTTGTAAATTAAGCTCCAAACCCTCTTGTCCGCATTTACCCCCTGTCCGGATTTACCACAACTGACCCTAGTTGTTCAAGTAAATATTTATTTGATAATAGGCAAGTAATCGGTTATTTGAATAAAATAAATTAGTTTACAAGTGTAATTTATACGTAATATTTTTAAATTGTAAATAATAATAATATATTATCTAATAATATTATTAAAGGTAACATAATATAATATCTTTATTAATATTATTATAAAATTATTATATTATTATTAATATTATTTATTTATAAAATACAAAAAAAAGTAAAATAAAATTTGAATTTTCTCTGTAGTTTAAATAACCATTTATATTATGCAAGAAATTTTTTAATTTCAAAAAAATTAATTCTTAATTTTCAAACTATGATAGAATGTTTTAAAAATTTTCAGGAGGTCCTGGCAGCGGTAAGGTGACACATTGTGATTCTTTAATGGCAGAGAGAAAGGGAGTTATTCACATCAACATGACGGATATACTACAGCAGTACCTTATAGGAAATAGTAAGCTTAATTTATTTCCATTAATTTTAAATGAAAATCAATAAAACAAGTTGTAAATCCAGATGTTCATTACACGAACATTTTGCTTCCTCTTTATGATCAGCAAAAAAATTTGCTTCCTCGTGGAGGAAGCATTAACGATAGGTATATTTCATTTTTAAATCATTTTTAATACAATTAAACATTTATAAAATAAAGTTCATTCGTCTTAATAGAAAGAATAAAATTTTCTTATATAATAATATAAATCTAAATAAACAAAAAAATTTTTAGCAAAAAAGTGAATTTTTCAACTTTAATATTGTAATTAATTCTATAATTTTCAATAGAATATATATACTTTATATACTTCAATCAATTAGTCTTGATGCAAAGAATAAGATTTTTGATTTATTTTTCAATAAATAATAACATTTTATTGTACAGCAACATGATTTTTAAGAAAAAAAGAATTTTTTTTAAAGTACAAATTTTTTGTCTATAATTGATTTTAATTCTATAAATTTAAATACAATATACACTTTATATATACCAATCGATCCGTCTTGGTGCAAAGCATAAGATTTAAGAAATAAATGAGTAAGATTTTCTTATACGGCAACATAATTTTGCGGAAAGAACTCATTTTTTGATAAAAATGCGAATTTTTCAGCTTTAATTGTGATTAACTCTATAAATTCTCATATTTATACTTTGTATATACCAATTGATTCGTCTTGATGCAAAGAATAAGATTTTATTATATATTAACTTCAATAAGCAACTTAAAAAAATTTTTTTTTAGAAAAATCTGTCCGCGCAAGCGCGGGGGCTCGCAAGTTTCAGCGCGCCTCGGGGCACGCGAATATTGATCGTCGCGCTCCGTTTGATGTTACGCGCTTCGCGCGCAAATGACTCGCGGTGGTCTGCAGTTGTTGTGCATTATTTGTGTTCTTGTTATTATTTCCTATTATATGTTTAATAGTACATTTTTTTCTTAAAGTTACTACGACTTTAAGGATTACATTCTCATCACATGTTTTTGTTTGCTGATGATTGCAAGATTAAGTGGATTAAAATGTATATTTTTGGTAGACATGTGCAAAAAGCTCGAAATGTCGATCCGAGCCAAGCCCAAGCCGGCTCGATGTATCAAGTACTCGATATTTTCGAGTACTTGAGTGACTTCAAGAACACGAAAAATTCGAGTTCTCGGGTAAATTCGAGGACTCGATTAAATTTGAGCACTAGAGTGAATTCGAGTACTCGAAACTATTCGAGTTTTTTACACAGCTCGGCTCGGCTCGAACTGATTAGGCTCGGCTCGGCTCGAAAAATGAAAAGCTCGAAAAGCTCGATCAAGCTTCAAGCTTTTTGCACAACTCTAATTTTTGGTCTTGATGATTAAACTTGTAAAGTTATTTTTAATTATACTAACTCTCTTAGCAGAAACATGATTTGCAGAAGCAGCTAAAATATTTTTAAAGTATTATTATCAAGTTGTTGATAAAAACGGATTATTATAAAAGTTATAACATTTTACAAAATCAATAACAAATTCTTTAACACAGTTAAGGGAGCGTTCACAAATGATGTCACGCAATTTTTCGGGATTTTAGACACCCCCTACCCTGTCAAGCAATTTCATGCAATTTCACTTGCAAAAATACATTGTTTCACGTTTAATAGAGACCCCCCTGCCCCTAAAAACGTGACATCATTTGTGAAAGCTTCCTAAGCTGACTGACCCAAAAACTTAAAAAAAAAAAGTAGTTTCTGACGAAAATAGCTGGTTAACGAACTTGGCCTTCATTTTTGCACCAACTTTAAGTGTGTTAAATTTAAAAACGATCGGATATGTTCTTCAAGAGTTATCTTGGGAACAAAATTTTTGGTCTACAGACAGACAGACAGACAGACGAACAGACGGACACCATCGCCGAACCATGTTTTTTGGGTTCAGGGGACCCCAAAACGTCGAGATTTCATGAAATTAGCGAAAGTCAATTTTTACCAAAACTAATACTTTCTCATATGATGAGAATGTAATAAAAATTACTTTTTTTGAAAATAACTTGCAAAGTATAGGGTTTAGTGAAATAGTGTCTACAGCAAAGTTGTAGCTAAGGATGAGACGAGAAAAAAAGTCTCTAGTAGCAAGATTCCACATGAAATAGATTTGGAGATAATTGAGTCGGAAAATCGATTTTTTGCCAAAAAAATAATATATATATATATATATATATATATAGTGGTTTTTCGAGAAATTGACAGTTTTATGTCTATAAATATGTTTCCTGGGTGTATGTGGGTGAGATAATGTGAAAATTGTTGAACTTACTTTTATTTCTTTGAAAAAATGTTGTTTTTTTGCGTTGTTTTGGGATTTTTGAGTTTTTTGACCATTTAAAAACTTATAACTCTGAAATTTGACTTTTTGACAAAAAAAGTTGTAGAGAAAAGTTGTTTGTATTTTTCTAATCTAAAATAATATAAAGTTAAAAATTTAAAAATTTAAAAAAATTGAATTTTCAAAATTTTGAAATTACTGTAGTTTTTGTAATTTTTGACGAAAATGTCTGGCTAACGAACTTAGCCTTCATTTTTACACCAACTTTAAGTGAGTTAAATTTAAAAACGATCCGATAAGATTTTCAAAAGTTATCATGGGAACAACATTTTGTGTCTACAGACAGACAGACAGACATACAGACAGACACCATCGCCGAACCATGTTTTTTGGGTTCAGGGGACCCTAAAACGTCGAGATTTCATGAAATTAGCGAAAGTCAATTTTTGACCAAAACTAATACTTTCTCATATGATGAGAATGTAAAAAAGTCAAAAAAAAAATTTTTTTGGAGAATTTTTTAAAGTCTATGAATCCATTTCGAGATATTTTTATGATAAATATACCTGGCATATTTTAGCCAAATTCGTTAAAACCTCTTCGAGTTATCGTGATCACAAAAATCGGGATCCACACACACACACATACATACATACATACACACATCCATACATACATCCAGACAATTGTTCAGGGTCTTATATAACATAGTCCTATATAGAAGAAAATTTGTTAAGAGGATTTTTAAAAATTTTGTAAATTAAACGACTACAAAGCTTCCTCACGAGGAAGCAAAACATATTTTTCACAATTTATTTTAATTTAAAGTAAGAAAAAAAACAAAACAAAAATTTACCCCTATTAAAGTTTCTTAAAAGTTTGATATACTTTCAAATAAACGCTAATTTTTTCCTTTTAAATATTTTCAAAAATACTCAACACTTAAGTGCACAAAATTAGTCTAGTATATATAAAATACTTTAATAAAATTAAAAAAATAATATAAAATTTCTGTTTTTTTTTAAATTTGATTTTATTTCAAATTTTGTTTTGTTAAAAAAGCACAATCTTTTTAAATATTTTATTAAAACTACTTATTGTTACTCTGTAAATCTAAAGATTAGTGAAGTTATTTTTAAAATTAAATATTAGTGTATCAATATTATTTTAATAATTAATTTAATAAATAGTGAAAATTAACGATCACTCCGAGTCAAGGAAAATAAAAATAAAAGAAATTCAATTCTTTTTACGTTTCGGCAGCACAGCTGTCCTCTTCAGAACGAAAAAAAGAAAATTAGAAAATTAAGGTACATCTTTGTCGCAACAATATGACACTCTTAGAGTGTCATATTGTAATCGTTGCGACAAAGATGTACCTATCTTAATTTATAATTTTAATTTTTCTAATTTTCTTTTTTTCGTTCTGAAGAGGACAGCTGTGCTGCCGAAACGTAAAAAGAATTGAATTTCTTTTATTTTTATTTTCCTTGGCTCGGAGTGATCGTTAATTTTCACTATTTATTAAAATACGACTGAGTGATAGAATCATCTCTACTCTTAATTAATTTAATGATTATTATTATATTTATTAAATTATGTTTTATTCATTTTTACACTATTTTACACTACACTAATTTTATGCACTTGATTGTTGACTATTTTTTGAAAATATTTAATTGAAACTAAAAATTTATAATTATAAAAAATCGACCAAAATTAGTCAACATTTCTACTAATTAGTATAATTTTCAACTAAAACTAAAGTAGTATATTTTTACTAAAGTCAAAAATACCAATTTTTTTAACAAAGTATAAAATACAAATTCTTTTAATCAAGTTAGATAATACCAATTTTTTTAATGAATTAAGAAATTTTTAACTGTATAATAAATATGAAATAGTGAAATTCCTACTAGAAAATTAGTAGAAAATGTTTACTAATTTTAATTAGAGGACGACTTTTCATTAATTGAAATTTAGAAGACCAATGTGTGAAAATATGTGAATAAATGTGTGAAGAAAACACTAAACTCGCCTTCAGAAAAGAATGAAACCCATTGATGGATTAAAGAATCGATTAAACTTGAATCGATAATGATACAGTTGTTTTTTCTCTAACTATACACATAAATATATATAGGTATACATATATATGTAATACCTACATAAGAATCAGTGTGTAAAGACCATATTACAATAAAATACATAATTTCTAAGATTATACAGTCGTTCTTGAAAGGTATATTTTTATTAAAGAAAGAAGAATCACAAACAATTTCATATAGATATAGTTTGATAAACACCTAGTTCTTTCGGAATCAGTATCTCTAAATTCGATTTAGTGCAAAGTTATCCACCAATTTAAATTAGTATAATAATTTCTACCATATTTATTTTAATTAAAAGTTTCTGTATAATTGTATAAAACAAAAATCTGTTTTTATTAGAGGTGTGCAAAAAGCTGACGTACATAGCTAACGTATCTAACGTACTTAATAATATAACTATCTAAACTAACGTAGTAGTAAGTTATAGTTAGTAAGTTAGTCAATTAGTTGGTTGGTTAGTTAGTTAGTTAGTTAGTAAGTAAGTAAGTTAGTTTGTTTAGTTAGTTATGTTACTTACGTTATTTTAGTTAGTTATGTTACTTATGTTAGTTTAACTTATT